TCCTGGTGTGGCGCTGTGGGTTAATGCGCCAGACTGCAAAGATGTTTGAACTGCAAGGTAGGCGGTTCAAGCTCACTGGCCGCTCCTTGGAAACCCTATACAGGGTCGCTGTGGGTGGGAACCGACTCAATGGCACTTAACAACAACAACATGGCACACACTAGGTAAATTAAATCTAAACATGTCTCCTACTAAAAATAAACTAAGAGGAGGAAGTAAATCTTCAGACAGGATTAAGCAAACAATAATATTAAAAACTCTCCAAGCTGAAACGACAACACTCCAGTTTTTGAGAGGTTAAACCATTTAAAAGATAGACTTCAAAGGAAGGGGAAAAAGTAGATCTCAGAAACACTCACTCTGACAACTCACTTAGCAAGCACATACTGTTTGTTCTCAGAAAGTAAGTTTTTGAATTTAGAGTTGAAAGGTTCATTTCTGAAAACAGCTTGTCCTCAAGATTTTTAATAGTTCAGTTAAACTACGTGTGGGAGTCATAGGATAACTACAGTAAAATTCTCCAACATTTTCAGTGACCTTATTTGGTGCATGATAAGGAACTGTTTAGTGTACAGCTGGTAGTTCCGAATTGCTGACCTTAAGGTTCGTAGCCCGATTCATAACCACTACGCTACCATAGCTCCTTAGGTATCTGGAATTAGAAAATATTAAAGTTTATCTAGCTTATTTAATAAGCTAGTTAAACTAATAAATACTATGATCTTAATTATGATTAAGATTTTTTTCAAAGAAATATCCCATTCACTTTACAAAAATTCTATTCGTTTAAACATTCAAATGTATTCAGATAAAGTATGGGCCAAAATACACCTTAAGAAAATGTCACACAAACAAACAAAAAACAGTTTCTCTTTAGAAACTTATAAATATTGACCTGACAGAAAATTATGTTTTATAGGTACTGTAGACTCATAGGTTTTACCCTTACATTTATTCTTTAACTTTTAAACAATTTTATTGACATATTTTAAAACAACATACAAACACTCATTCAACTTGCACGTTTCAATGGTTTTTAGTATGTTCTCAAAGTTGTGCAGCAATCACCCAAAGAAATCCCATGCCCATTTAAAGTCATTCTGCATTTCTCCCAAAACCATTTGCTTATCCTGGGCATTTCATACAAATGGCATCATTTAATATGATGCCATTTTTTTTTTTTTGGACTGGTTTTTATAACTGGCTTCTTTCACTTAGCATGTGTTGAAGGCATACATCAGCATTCATTCATTTTTATTGTTAAATATTTGTAGCATATGGATATATTACGTTTCACTTATTCCTTAAATTAGTTGATGGGCTTCCCCCACCTTTTTTTTTTTTTTTTGTAATTATTAATAATGCAACTACGTACAAGAATTTTTTGTGTGTGTGGACATATGCTTTTATATATCTAAGAGTGGAATTATTGGAGTCCTGGTGTGGTGCTGTAGAATAAGTTGTTCCCAAATTTTCTGGAGTCCTGGTGTGATGCTATAGGGGAAGCACTGGACTGCTAACTACAAGGTTGACAGTTCAAAGTCACTTATTGGAAACCCTATCTAGTGTCTTTATGAGTTGGAACCCACTTGACGGCACTTAACAACTTAAATCAGGAATACAGGTAAGGACTAAGGTGGAAATGAGATCATGCCTTTTTCCCATATGATGGTAAGTAGTGAATGATCCCAATGAAAGTAAAAAATATTAGTTGGTTTTCTTACCATATCATTACATAATAAATTTATTCAAATGTGCAAAGTGATGTGGGAGATAAAGAAAATCTGTCTTTGTTATGGATTGAATTGTGCCCTCTTCAAAATATATGTGGAATCCCTGTACCCATACATTTGAGTCTTGTTTGAAATAGTGTTTTCTTTTGTTATGTGTGATACTTAAGGTTTTGTGTCAACTTGGCTGGGCCCGGATTCTCAGTGGTTTAGTAGTTAAAACATAATAATCCCCATGATGTGACCTAATATAATCACCTCCTACTTGATGTGATCTGATATGCTCAGTTCTGATCTGATATAATATAATCTGATATAATTATCCTGTGTGTTATAAATCCTCACTTCTCTAGTGTTAATGAGGCTGGGTGCATTAGGATGTATCTTGAGGTAATCTCTTTTGATATATTAAAGAAGAAAGATGAGAGCAGGAAAGGAGAGTCCTACAACCATCAACACCAAGAGTTAGGAGTGGAGTGTGTCTTTTGTACCTGGGGTCCTTGCATTGTGAAACTCCAAGGTCCAGAAGAAGATTGATTCTAATACACATGGACATTTCTAAAGAGTTGGGCTTATAAATGCTGACAGGAGACAAAGATCTTTATCCAGAGCTAATAACTAAGTTTCTGTTTATTAAAGGCATCCGCTTGTGATATTTCTGTTATAGCAGCACTAGATAACTAAGACACTATGTTAATGAAGTAATGCCAGCATGTTGTTGTTGTTAAGTGCCGTTGAGTCAGTTCTGACCCATAGCGACCCTGTACAGGGTTTCCGAGGGTGTAAATCTTTATGGGAGTAGAAAGCCTCATCTTTCTCCCGCGGAGCGGCTGGTAGTTTCGAACTGCTGACCTTAAGGTTCACAGCCCGATTCGTAACCACTACGCTACCAGAGTGGCCTAAACCTAATCACTTCTGAATGGCAGCTTATACAAAGAACAGAGTAGACACAGAGACATAAGCAGAGGGAAATACAGACCATAGGGATGGATGTATCTATAAACCCAGGAATGCTAAGGATTGGCAGTTACTAGAAATTGAAAGAAAGAAAAAAACCAGGACCTCTTAAAGCTAACACCCTGAATTTTTTTTTCTGGCCTCTTCAACAGTGAGAAAATAAATTTCTGACCTTTAAAGCAGTATACTTATGGTATTTTTTTTTACAGCTCTAGAAAACTAAGCCATTACTTTAGCAATTTATAATTTAAATGCCAGAAAAAGTCATACATACAGAGGGGCTTCAAAAAGTTCTTGTAAAAATTCTGTTATCTATTGTCCATGAACTATTCGAAGTTCTCTCTTAATACACTGTGCTTTAGGAAGTAATTGAATCAATATTGAGTAAACACTATACTCCAGGTATTGAGCCTTTAGGGTTGTTGTTCTTGTTAAGTGCCATGGAGTTGGTTCTGACTCATAGTGACCCTGTACAGGGTTTCCAAGTCTGTAAACCTTTACAGGAGCAGAAATCCTCATCTTTCTCCCACAGAGTGGCTGGTAGTTTTGAACTGCTGATCTTAAGGTTCGTAGGCCGATTTGTAACCACTACGCTACCAGAGCTCCTTATTGAGCCTTTAGGGTACAGGAACACTAATAAGAACTGTTTAGACATAATGAACTTTCAGTGCAATGTGGGTAAGAAAATGCATGTTTTATATGTTGTATGTACACACGTTGTAATAACAAGTCCTTTATAAAGCACTAGAATACTGCACTAGTCAAAAGTGGTCAGTTCTATATTATAAAGTTTGCGAATGTTCCATCTTGAACTATCCACAAAGTTTTATAAAAGGAAAATTCTCCAAGCTCAAATAATAGAAAAAAAAAAAAATGTATCTTAAGGAAAAACTGGGCATCTGGGCACACATTAATTAATAGAAAACTGCATAAAACCAAGGAAAAAATCTTCAAGGTGAGAGGCATTAAAAAAATCAAAGATTCTAAATGGTTTATTAGTTTTAAGTTTACAAGATGGAGAAGCTAGTGACACTAATAAGTATTAGGAAAATCCTCTCCTTACTGCACCAGGAGTTTCATAAAGAAGATGAATTTTTAAACAAACCTAAATAAATCAGGTTGAATAGCTTCTTTGCATCATCCCATCTTTATCCTTTCCCTAGGACCTTCAGAAAAGATTCAGAGTAGAGCTGGTGTTACAAATCTTCCAGACCTTAGAAAATGCAGACTTTCTTCATGACATCAATGAGCTGATGCTATCAAGACAGACTTAAAATATCGCTTCTTGGCTTTGAGCACAAAATGAAGGCCAAGGGAGAGCTGTTTCTCCTGAACCAGAGCCAGATACCACACTTGCACCCAGCTGTGATCTCCTTAACGAGAAACCATCATTATTCATTCGCTTCTGTATTTTATTGAGGAAGGAGCTAGGGAAAATATGAGGGATGGGTTTAAAAAAACAAACAAACTTATCATCATAAAGGCATTAACTGTGTCTTTACTATAAGGAGAGCATTTTTCTACATTTTACATAATTCAATAGTAAAGCATATAGTTTTGTGCTTCAGAGGCTTGTTTTTTCCCCTTTTGAGAGGGACAGGAATAGGGAATTTTTCTCAATTATTGCCCTTTTTAGGTTACTGTTATTTCTGTTAAAGGAAGTATGTTACTGTTAATTTTTATTTAAGACACTATTACCAGTATTTAAGCTTCAAGCTCAACACAGAACACACCAATGCAGCTTGTTGTTGTTGTAATTAGGTGCCATTGAGCACCCCGATACACAACAAATAAAACACTGCCTGCTTTTGCACTATCTTCACAATTTTGTTGTGTGTGAGTCCATTGTTTTGGCCACTGTGTCAATCCATCTCATTGAGGATCCTCCTCTTTTCACTAACCCTCCATTTTACCAAGCATGATGTCCTTCTCCAGGAACTGGTCCTTCTGATAACATGTCCAAAGTATGAGAGAAGTTGGTTTCGATTCTTAATGACCAGGCATAGGGTTGGCAAGGCTTTAAATCTTATGTGGGAGCAGAAAGCCTCATCTTTCTCTCAAGGAGGGGCTTGTGGGATCAAATGGCCAACTTTGTGGTTTCAAGTTCAGTGCTTATCCTATGGAGCCACTGTGCTCCCATCCTGGCTTAGAACTGTCTACAATGAATATCCTAAACATGGATTTATTTAAAAAGTCAATATCATAGCTATTGATATCAGAAACAAACTGAATAGCTATAATTATATTATCATTTTTTCCCCTTTGAACAAATTCTTCTCCATAGTCATATCATGCTTATTTTGAAGTTCTTACCTAGAAGTCAAAAGTCCAAGTGCCTCCAAAGGGTGAGAAAATGTCCATGCTTTCAGAATAGTGTGCATGTCTGAAACAGTCCTCTCGTCCCATCCAGGGGCACTCCCCAGGACCAAAGGAAGGGAGCAATTTTCATTATTGCAGTAGAAGCGATAAAACCATAAGTATCTTTTCTTTTCCACAGAGAGTCTGCAAAATCAGATTGGAAATTATAAATTATTCAAGCTCTTGCACTAACAAATACTGCTGTAACATATAGTACAAAATCTTACTTCGGTTCTTTTGAGCTTTGTCTTATTTTTATTTTGGAAAACAAGTCCTTTATCTTTTTAGGACAGCTAGATAGGTTATTTCGTCAACTTATTTCTCACAAACTTTATTCTTTCATAGGAAAAATTAAAAACACACACACACACACAAAGCCTCTCTAGTTCAGATAATACATGTTTAGTTTTAGACTATCTTATCCTAGTTACATATACTTTTTATAAGTCATTTTGTTGGCAAACTCTTTCTCCTTTAGGGCAGACCTAGTTATCTGAATCCAGTAACATGTATTATTTAGAGCAGAAGTATCCAACAATGTATCTCTTATTTTCTTTATAAATTAATTCAGACCTTAATGGGCCTGTAAAGAAATGGCATACTTTCAAGATAATATTCCTTCATTTAAAAGTAAGTTTCCTCAAAGTTCAGAACACTCTTGGCTCTTAATTCCAGAAACAAAGAACTCAATTCACCCCTGGATCTTGACTTTAAAAATTAAGAGTTCACTGGAAGTTTAGGGTTAAAATGCCAGTAACAAGGACTTCCTTAAATGTTCAAGTGTTTCCCCCTGGAGAGTGGTCCCAAACAGAAGATTTATATTTTGAAATAGTGACGTTCACTAGATGACAACTTGTTCAATTTTACTTGCACTCCAGCAGCGGTACAGCATTCAAAAGCACAGTTCAGTTAGAGGACAACATTTCTTACATGACAATGACAGCTTTTGAAAATGATCTACTTCAAACTAACATTCTGTTGTTGCTCAGCTTAAATCAATTTAAAACACCCAAGAATTTAATGAGAAATATTAAAATATATATAAAGATTAATATTCCTCCGTGATGTGTTTTGAAATTATCTTCATCTATAAAATGAAAATATTGCATTATATATGATTTTTTAAGGTACTTTCAGAGTATTCTCCTGTGCTTTGTCGCTACTCATAAAGAAAATCAACAGAAGAAAAAAATTCAAAAACAAAACTACTAAAACAAATTTCATCCTAGCTAAATTCCTTTCTGCCCAGTATTGAACAATTATTTCTTTTCTTTTAGTCTTTTATAAAACATAATTGACAAAGAAAGACATGAACATATTCATTTCAATAAATTTTGACAAATGCATGTTGTTGTTAAGTATCATCAAGTCAGTTCTGACTCATAGCTACTCTGTATAGGGTTTACAAGGAGCGGTTAATGGATTTGAATGACAGACCTTGCGGTTCACAGTCCAGTGTTTATCCTACAGTGCCAGCATAGACCTGAAAAGAAACAGGTAGCCCTTCTATCAAGGCATAAAATTGTTTTCTCCTGTCTATTCCCGTCTATCCATACCCACACCCCTACTAGAGGGAAGCACAGATATGATTTCTTTCACTCTTGCTTAACAATGCCTATTTTAGAACTTCATAAAAATGAAGTCCATGGTATAGCCAATATTATTCACAAACACCATAATGGAAAGGCATCAATTCTGCTTCAGTTTTCCTTATTCATTGCTCAGATTTTGCAAACTGGTCAGTTGCCTG